CCTTAAAACTCATTTGTTCAAATAAATTTGTTCCTTTTTTTTAACACTGACCCCTCAACATAAAGTATAGGCTTTGAAGTTAGCTTCCTAATTAAAAAATACTTAGCTGACCATGTCTTTCACCACTCATCCTTCTTTCATCATATATACTCAATAGATTTTCAATTTAAAAACAAACAAAAACTTCATATCATTAACGTTTATATTTCCAGTTCTGATAAAACATTACATGAAAAAACTTACAAAAAGGCTTTAGACTTATTAAATGATGCACATTAAAAGGACTTCCTTATGATAATCTTAGGCGATTTTAATGCTGATCTGTCACGACTCTCCAATCCTTCAAACTCAAAAGCCTTTTTCACTTCGCTCGATAATATCCACATGATTAACAATCTTAACCTCGTCAAGAATCAAAAATCAAATGATGACCTCATTACATATGAGACTAGCACTGAACGTTCTATAATAGATCACATTTTTATGCACTCTTCATTAACCCCTAACCTTATCACCAAATTGTAGAAAAGGTTGATAGAGATTTGTCAGACCATGCCATTGTTTATGCAACTATCTCATTAGCATCTATTAATCCATCTTTCACCCAATGTGCTGCAATTAAAAAGCTAGTCTTCTGATATGACGAAATGTCTGAGGAGAACTGGTCTGCTTTTGGAACTTCAGTTGATCAACAATGTAAAAATACAAGGCTTTATAACATGTCGTTGAATAGCATACACACTATACACCATTTGAACCACTTTTGGGATCTTCTTCAGAAATCAATTATAGACGCTGCTATCAAAACAATTCCTAATAAGTATATCTCACATTACAACTGTGACCTTAGACCACGTATCCTTAAATTTATTTATAAACGTATTAAGACAGTTCAAAAACTTTGCAAGACAACTAATAAATGTATTAAGGATAACATAGTTGACCCTGAATGGATTACTTGATGTAAAAAAGTACAAGCTTTCTCAAAAGAATATGCCATAACGATCCCTAACACTAGTCACCCTCGTTACAAGAAATCAAGACATTCTGTCCCTTGTTAATTGATCTTCAAAAAGTTCTTTCAACTGCAGCCAAATTAAATGAAGCAGAATTTAAAACTAAAGTCATCAATGAAGCTATCAAAAGACGTTGTAATAATTTCGTAGATGACTAAAAATCTATGTTCAATTTGCTACTAGATCGTTCTCATATTATTATTACATTTAATAGATGCATAAACAACAATAGTCTTGACAAAGAACTCCTTACGAACCCAAAGGATGTTCAAAATGAGACTGCAAGACACTTCCAAAAAGTAGTTAAATCACAGTATTCAAACCCATCCCTCTCTGAAATATGGGAACAAGTCTATACACTGGATGACTTAATAGACTCCAATATATACCGCTCAATTATGCAACCCCCTTCAGATGACAAATGGCACAATATCATTAGGGCACTTCCTAACGGAAAAGCTTCTGGACCATCTAAGATTTCCAATGAGATGTTAAAACACCTTGGCCCTTTCACAGCCAAATGTTTATGGATTATTATCTGCAGATGCCTGTCGCTCAATCTTGCATCTAATAGATGGAATCTAGCCTTTATATATCCAATATCTAAGCCAAAACCCTAAGAATACAATTTAATAAACACATGACCAATCACGCTTCTCGAATATTCACGCAAAGCTCTTACTAAATTAATCAATGGTCGACTCTTGAACGTTTTGTTTACCAACAATATTCTCAAAAGAAACAACTTCGCTGGTCTGCTTTGTAGGAGTACTTTTGAACCAATTCATATATTTGACAATATCAATTATGACGCCTCATTTCATCACAATAACCTTTGGATTTTATTCCAAGATATGTCAAAAGCATATGACTGTGTTAATATTACCATGTTGATCAGAGCTCTTGGACACCTTCAAATTCCAGAAGCATTTATAAAATTTTTGATCTTGATTTTTATTTCTCATTTTAATCAAGTGTTTAGTGCGTACGGTAACTCTGATACTTATTTAGTTCTCTCAGGTATTGACCAAGGCAAAATTATATCACCTATCTTATAGTGTATATATTACGACCTGCTACTTTGTTTTATACAAAACTCATCACATGGTTATATACAACACATCCACTGGAACACTAACGTCATCAAATATAATATACAAAGTTTTTCAAATCACGTTCTAGCATTAGCATATATAGACGACACCCTCTGGCTTGTGAATTTCAGATCTGATCTCCTAAATATTATAAACATAGCAGACTCCTTTTACATGCTTAACAGCATTCAAGTCAATTGGGATAAATCTATTCTTATGATTAATGATAAAGATCCTGCTCCTGTTAATTTCAACTTCAATGGAAACAACATTTGGCTCTCACCACTTCATTACAAGGAATCCACCAAATATTTAGGAGTTTGGGTTTCTTTGTTTAACAACAGACAATTTATTACCAAACAAATTAATGATGAGTTTACCAAAACAAAAAATGTGTTTAGTAAAAAAAGGCTGACTGCAAAACAAATGGTTGCAATATTTAACACAGTTATCATTCCTCGTCTCTTATACAAGACAAAACTGACGTTTATTTCTCGTTTAGCATGTAACACTCTGATGGCCTCCTTCAGAAATTTCTTCAAAAAGAAACTAGGCCTTTCAAGATTTATATCTTCTTCTGTCCTCCACTCAACCTTTGGTTACAATTTAGCATATTTGTATGATAAGCAGATTCAAGCCAAGTCATCTGACCTATTAAAGATGACTAATGATATTTCACTTCTTGGTTCAACTTCGCGGTTACGAATTCTACAATTACAAATATTGAAATGGCTATCTTCGTCTCTATTAATAGATTGGCCTTACATAGATACAAAGCCTTTTAAAGACTGGTGATCAGGATTTCTGTCAGCTTCTAAGCAGATTGGACTTAAATTCTAACAATGTATAGACAAAGATTATAATCTCAAACAAATAGATGGAGGGTCTCTTCCAATAATACAGTTTCTCCCTTCTAAGATTTATCGGCAAAATATCATGAAACTGCGATCACTTTCGATCTTATACGTTGATCAACTTATCACCATAAATGGTACTCACCTGTTCACAGCCTTTGACCTAAATATGGTTTATGATTCAGTATTCCATAGTGCTAAATAGTTTAAACAATTGGAGTCACGGCTTTTGATCAGTACTTCAGACTGACTAATACTCAATAAATGCCTCCCTTACCATTTACTTATCAAAATACCTACTCAACCAACCAACTTTAACATTTCAGCAACCAACCCAACCTTTGTTACAATTTGGTCTAACCAATATATGACCTTCATAGTAGGCAAAGTAGTCAAAGTCAAAGATACTATCATTCATGCACAACATTATTTGCCAAATCAAGCTGACAACCTTCCAACACCTATTGCTCCTTGTACTAGATGTAACCTATTCGACCATTCAACTTTTATATCTTACAAACAACAACAACGCCATCATTTTTGTGCCATCAAATTACCTAAGTCATTTTGTTTCATATTTAAAACTTTTTACAAACACCGCGAAGGATAATGGTATAGTCTTTCTCACCTCATGCTTCGTGAAATTGCTCTGTCAACTTTGACATCTCCTTATCAATATCCAACCAGATCTTTACCTAGCTTAGAAGTTATCCCCTTTGATCAAATATCCATTAATAAATTAGATCGTCTCAAATCCTAATTTACTAATGCTAATACTCTTCAATTCTATACAGATGGTTCACTCACATCCTTGGGATCTCCTGAATGTTGGATGGGAATAGCGTAGTTACAAACTGACCAAAATTGGCCTTTGCTTTCCTTTAATGCAACACTCATCTCACACTCTCCTTCTTCAACATTAGCAGAAATAGTTGCTATTCTTGCTGCTATATACACAGCTCCACTGAACTCCATAATTGAAATCTGCACAGACTCACAAGCTGCAATTGCCTCATATCAAAAAATCACCACCATTTGTGAGGAATCCCCCTCTCTAAATCCTACTTTCAAAATTTCTTATTTCCATATTTGGATGATCTTGATGTAACTTATTATATTCAACAATATTATGTTGTCGCTGAAAAAAGTCAAAGCTCATGGATCAGATAAACTTAACAATAAAGTAGATGCTCTAGCAAAACAACTCTCTAGTGAACCTTTGAGTATTAACAGTAACCACCTAGGTTCTAAATATTTCATAAGCTATAATAACACACCAATCATCACACCACCACGTTTATTCATTAAACACATACAACAAGCATCTTGGGCTGAAATACTTTTATCCCTTCTCCAATTTACAAAGTATCACAATTTTCACATTGATTGGCAAACTCTTTTCTACGTTCTTAATGATTTTGAAAATGCTAGGGTGACATCATTTGATGCGTGCAAACAGAAGCAATTTAAGATCAAATTGTTATTACAACTACTTTTCACTTTCACAATAATGAATGCATGATATCCCCAACTTTATACTACTAGTACCTGCTTCCGGTGTAATATTACAACTGAAGACTTTGATCACATTTGGTCTTGTTCTCAAAATACAATTTCTCTTACTGATTTAATACAAAAACACAAACAGTCATTCTTGTTTCAACTCAAAGAACTCAATAGATCTAACAATGATACTTTAATTAATGTTATTGATCAATCTTCAATATAGTATTGCAACTCTTTCAATAACAACTTATGTTTTATGGATCTCATAAAAGGAATCATCCCTTCGTCATTTTCCTCCTCTATTACTTTTATCACTAAAAACAAACAACTCACCCAAGGCCTATTATCATCCTTATTTGATGATATTTTCTCCTCAGCTCATAATTTATGGTTAACATGATGCATATCACTACAAACTTAGAAAACTTCAAAAAATATCAAAGACGATTTCTCTGTTGCTTGGGTCTCCTCTGGACTTCTACAACCTACACAAACTTCACATAATAACCCCTCCTCCTTTTCTGCAGCTCTTACTTTTAGTTCTCACTGGTCAAATTTTTAGTACAGCAGTAACCACGCCCTCCCTTTCAGACGTTCGATATCTGTACGTTAGTTTAGACTAGTTTTTTTTCTTATATAATATATAGTTTAATTTGGTAAAGTGCAAGGTTGGTATTAATAAAGTAGTTTAGTCCCTAGATTAGTTTATAGATATTTTTGTATTTTCTGTTTTATTTTGTTTTTCTTGTAATTTTATAAATATTAATAAAGACCATACGAGACTGTCGCACTTAAAAAAAAAAAATTATTTTTACACATCATTTTTAGGTGTAATAATAGTCTTGCTAATATAATAATTTTCCAACAAGTATGTGTGATACTATATCTAATCGTATCTATAATTAGGCTATTTTCTCATACATCTAATCATTTCTTACTGGATAACAATGCCTCCCATCCTCATAACAAATATATCTTGATTATTCTAATTCATTTTTTATACCTAAAAACTTCATATCATCAGAAGTACTATCATTTCTCACTGTCTTCCAAACTCATTTTGCTAAATATTCAGGTCTTTTTTTGTAATTCCTATAAGCTTGCTGGATAACTGTCGCATAGAAATTCTCAAACTAATAGTTATATTGTCTTGCAATCAAGAATCCCCAAGATTGCTTCATTGATCTTCCTGAATTTCTCAAAAAATACTTTATTAAAATAGATTAGAAGATCTAATTCAGAATAGGTAGATTATACATGTGATACATGAAATGATTACACCTTCAGACATAATTTCATTACATATAGATTATGTAATCGCAAAAAAAATAATTTATGAATATAGTTGAGATAAATAATGTTATTATTCAGTCGAAAGTAATAGTCAGAATCAGTTAGTTAAACTACTGTGATTTCTGTTCCATCCCCAATTTCAACATAGTGCCTTTTGGCTGTTTTGCATATAGAGATAAGATAATATTTTACTAAAGGTTGGTAAAATCATTTCTTGGTTATCAAAGGTAACAGGAGCACTTGCTATAGTATTTTTTACTATAGTTACAGATTTGGCCTTGAAGTAAAAGTAATTCCAATGATTTTTCATCAAATCTTCAGACTCAACTTCATAGACCCATCTCTCTCAGCCACTATAATATTCCTTTCTAGGCTCTACTTCAGTAATCTTCACCAATTTTCAGCATTTGAAGCAAATAGCCATTTGACTTTTATGGATACTAGGTCTACGATATTGGAAGTGATCTTTATATAACTCATCATTAATATAGTATGTTTTGGATTCTACTTGTCCAAATAAACTGAAAAGGCAATACACATAGTATAAACTATATTTTCGCTTAGAAAGTAGTTCTTGTAAAGGAGCCCTTATACGAACAGCCCATTGCTAAGGTATTTCATGAGGTCTAATAATGGATAAATAATCGTATTGTTTTTCTATTTCAACCACTTTTTCATACCGATAGTTATCAATTTGAGGTCGATAGTTAAAAACATATTTCATATCATATCCGGGACGGAGATTGATAGGTTTAGGTATAGTTTATTATAAATCTTATCTAATATGATCTTAACCATTGCACCGGGCATAATTAATAAATTAGTAATTTAGTGAATTATAGTGAATTGAAGCAAATTATAACAATTTATTAACTTATAGTGTTTTTATCGATTTTAGCTGATTTATCAATATTATACTCTAATAAATATCAAATTCATTTTTATTCGGATTTTTTTGATTCAGCCTCTTTTGATCAAAGATCTTTAGGAGAAAAGCTTGAATTTCATCACCCCGAAGTTCTATAAACAAGGGGGCGTATCACATGCGAGCTCCCTGCCAGTTTCTCGATAGTTCTAGGAGTGTTCCAGGAGCTGGCGAGTTTCTATAAATCACGAGATGATCGGATAAGCATAACGGGAATTCGGGAAAATGATTACGAATAAAATGCACATGTTCGAGATGATTGGCTAATTTAGTCATGTGGATTTTTATTCGAAATCTTATTGGGAGAAGTGTGACATTCAATATCACAGCTAAACCAATGAGACCTGGCAAAGTTTTGGAACAGAGTTATCGGTTATGCCGATTTATGTGCTAAAATGAAAACTGGAAAGTATGATTTTGGCTCTGAGAGCAGTGACATTAATGTCACACTACTTTACAAATAAAAAATCGCTCTAGATACTATTGGGATTTTATTTATGATAAGCCATACCCATACCAAATTTTAGATTATAAAAAACCGTTCCTTCAGGGAACGATCAGTCATGTGATTTTTCCTTGCACTTTTCACTGCTTAATGTATGTGTGAGAAGACGGGATTCCAATTGTTACAGGACGTCAGATACTGGGAAATATTTATGGGATTTAATATTTCGGGGTTATGATTTGTAATAATACGATTTATATTTGTCTGATGCACAGCATTTACAAAGCGATCTTGGATTTTCTTATTTTCACACTGCCTGTAAGCTGTAGCATACATTAAAAAACACAAGCCCAATGTAAGCAGGTTAACATACTTTATTTTTTTCCCCCCCCCCAATAAAAAAAATGCTAAACTTCACAGTTGCCTTACATGTACATTAAACTTCATTATAAAATACATATATGTAAAATATAATCTAGTCTTGCCATTTTATTTAGCGTTTACTTCAATAATTAACCCATCAAATGAATTCGCAAAGAATTACAATGATGTATCAATAGAATCATTATTGGTAGTATTAAAACTCTACTTCAACTTTCTCTTTTTTACCGGAATTTTTTTCCTTGGTTTCCTTGGGGTCTTGAAACAATCAGAAAAAAATTTAATCGAGCGTGGTGGTGAAGAAACTGAGCATGATGAACTTCGGCCAACTTCCATTAATTCATTTTCCAACCCATTTGCTGACTTAATTATTGTTCCGAGTATTTAGAATTTGCAGGTTGTTTTTTATGATAATCTTGAAAATAAAACTCAAATTAATAGGAGGTTAAAAAACAAGGTTATAATTACGAGAATAAATTTTTTTCTTACCTTGCGCTGATAAATTGATACTAGAAGCTTTAAAAAGGACATTATCCCATCTTCTGAAAACGTACTATCTACATTATAAGATGGGAAATCTTTACGAAAAATGCAAACTGAACCACCAGCACGCCATAACCTTGTGAATTGAATCCACAGTCCAAAATGTAAAATGCCAAAGACTTGTATTTTTTCTGATTTCTGTTCGTCAAAATTTACAGCCCTTATCAATTCCGAATACATGTCACGGAGTGTCTTAGGCATTTTAAAATTTTCAAGAAGGAACTTCTGATCTGAATGTCCTTGAAAAGATCTTGCACTCTCAATTGCCCCAAATTCAAGAAGTTTTTCAACGGAATATATAATCCCGTCGATTTTACGACCTGTGAGCTTTCTTGTCCGTGTATTCACTTTCCGTCCACGATTCTTCCTGTTAGCACTACTTAATGACGGTGCATCAGTTCTATAAACATATATAAATAAGCTGTGTTAATTGAATTTGATAATACTTTATTGATTGTTATAATTAACCTTTTGATGTCGGTTCCCAATTGATGGTCTCTAATAAAGAAATCAATACACGTTCCAAATAGTGCAACTGTGAACCAATTTTCGTATTGTGTTCTTGTTAGAGGGGAATTTACGTTTTTATACAGATTTACAAGTATCCGAATGGCTAATTGAATCCATTCTTGGTTGTGATGTTTACGGTCATCATACTTTTCATCATCATTGAGATACGATGTCATTACAGCTGTACGTAAGTCTTCTAAATTATCTTTTCCATATCTTGACAGCTCCTTTGCGATATCACGTGGAATAGATGGAATGCCAATTCGGTCTTGTGTCAACTCTTCCCATTCTACATCGCTGAAAAGTGCTTTAATCTCTTCATCATCATAATCAATGATATAGGAATGAGCATGACTAATAATAATATGTTAGTACCATGAATGAAAAGATAAATAGTATTTAAATTTCAAGAAACTTACTGTTCATAGTCCATGTCCTTGGCAAATTCGAAGAGAACGTCCTCCACTATTGTGTCTGTGCTCAACCGTAACTTCGAATTGTCTGGGATAGCCTCATAAGCCATGCGAAAGACAACCTTATCAACTTTTGGAGGGTATCATCTTCTTCGTCCTTATCACCTGTATCATTTTCCTCATCCGTATCAGATTCATCCTCAGACGATACAATCTTTGTTCCGCAGTACGGACAAAATATGATTGAGCTAAAGTTACTGATCTGAAAAATAAAAAAAAATTAAGTATTGTTGTTTATACATTGCAATAATAAAATTTAACGTATTATCGTACCTCTGCGTAACAATTGAGGCAATAAGGAAGTTCATGTTTTTCTGTCTCTAATAGCGGTGGAGGGCTCTGACCTTCGGTATCACTTGCGGGTTGACCTAAGGAGAAAAATCCCGAATCATCATTTTCTTCGGATATAAAAGTGGCTTCAGACTCATCCTGGAAAAGATTCTCATCGATTAGCAATTATTCAGTCTTTTGATTTCTATGAATAGTCAAATCGTGATAACTGAACAATTCGCTTCAATGTGAAGACCATACCTTGTCCTTCTCGTTGTCTGCTTCATTGGAAATGCCTCGTTCATTGCTTATGATTTCTGATCTCCGCCATTTCTTAATTGGATTATTGGTTGATTTTTGTTCGGGGGGACTTTGAAAGAAGTAGTCAATCTCGTTATTCAAATCCTACAGAAATACAAGGGATAACATTAAATAAATTGGCAGTTAAAAAACATTGGCTATTTCTGCTGATTCTAACGAACTCTAAGAGCTAATAAAATGCATCTGTACCTTTTCCCGATCTCTTTTTGACTGGGATGATTCGGAGTAGTTCAACGATTCACGCCCAGGGGACATGGAAACATTTGACGGATGAACTTTATATTCGGAAGTTTGTGCCTGTGTATAAGAGTCATGTTGAGGGGGTAAAGTTACAACATGCGGAGAACGTGGAAGTAGGGATGAGTTTTAACGGGAGAGGCTGTTACTTTGTTATGTTCATTTCTTTTTCGTTCTCGTTCCACTGAATCAAACTCCTTGTCAGCGTATACTTGAAATCCTCGTCGTGCTATCTGGAGGCCAGCTTGCCTTCCCTTCTTCTGCAAATAGCAAGTTCAGTAGTAAGGACCAAAGGTCTATTGCTAAAACATATATTAAAGAGTATTATAATAATAAATCACTTGCCTCGTTAATATTTGATTCCAAGTCGATCAATTCGGATTCCAGCTTTAATGATGCGATTCGATCTCTCGTATCCCAAATTTTCTTATTTTCATCACTCTTGGCAATACCCTATATATAAAAATAAAGAAATTAATAAATTAATAACGATATGATAAAATCAGATAATACACTCCGAGACAAAAAACGGGTGGGAAGAAAGTCCAAAAGAAACCACGGGCACTACGGCCCTCCCTCAGTGACACTACGGACTATGAGTTTAGCTTAGAAGGAGTTTTCTTATCCAGACACCACGGACCGGCTCAACGTTTCCATGACCACGCACATACTGTGCTACCCGTCGGTTTTACATACTGAAAAACCTTCTCAACATACTGTTGCCGGATTAGCCAAGGAGCACGCTGACACCACCATCAATTGTATTGAGGTCTACAAATAACTATACTTTCCTTTAGTTCGCTCTGCAATCCAGAGATTATTTCACAAGCAGGATGTATTCCCGTGTATATTTGATTCAAGCGCTTCAGTTCCTCAGCTAAGGCCGTATGTGATTTTTGCTTGGTAATTAACGCTGAACGTGGTTGATTCTCAATCCAATAATTATCCCATTCATTTACGTCTCCCCAGTTGCTGGGATCTTTGTCCCAGTAATCTAAAACAGCCAAATTTATATTTCTCAACATTCCGACCAATAAAAATACGAACAGAGTGTATACTCACTTGGATATTTCAGCTTTGAACGTTCCTCTTTTAGCATATCGACAAGTAAATTTTTTGGAAAGTCGCAAGCACGCGATTTTTTAGGACGATCATCCTGATAAACGATTTAACAATTTTCGCGGGTGTCACATGATTCAGGCTATTACGTCAGATATACACTTCTTTTTACTGATCGTTACGGTTTTTTGAAAAGAAAAAATTTGATGCGAATGCCCTTAATTGGGGAACCTTTATTAATGATATTTCAGATACATAGAGAAGCGAATGAAATATTGATGCTATCAAAGAGGGAGGGAGGATGCGGATCCTAGGCCATTTAATGCGAGTCCCAGCATCAAATTATTTCTTTGCTCTCAGTTTTATTATTAAATTTCTATATTAATTGTTTTGTTTCTATCACTATTGCTAATTACGAAACTCTTTACTACACTAAATTTCCTAAATAAATTATCCCACCCATTTCTACGCCTATCTATATCACTCGAACTCACACGGACTATGCTAAAGATTATTTCCCGCAAGAGAACTCCAAAATTAAGAAATTTCGAATCTATATTATAATTAAGGGAGTATTGGTAACTAAGGTAAAAAAAAAAATAATACAGTATTTCCAATTCACACTTACCGATATACTTAGTTTTCACAATATTACATTCTACCTCATATACAAAGGAATTGATTATTTGATTTTTTCTGCGTTATCGCCCGAACGATACTGCGCAAAGTTTCAAGAATTCAGCACATGAAGATGCCAGACTTTTGTTGTGCATGTAACGAGATTCATGTGAGTAATTTCACTGCGTCTATTGTACGTGTGATGATGATCAAAGATTTATTTTCTTAGCGAAGATCAAAATGCCAATATATAACAAGAAGAGTAATATGCCCGTTTTATTTTGGAACATCTATAGAGGCAGGAAAATCAATTAACATCGTGATGACATGTTTAGAGAAACTAGCCAAGCAATAAACCAACTTACTTTGCGAAATATATGGGTTCGTTTGATTGTAAATATCGATGATGCAAATAATGGTATGTTAGATTGGTTTTGATTTTTTTGTTTTACTTGCACGAGGCGATAAAAGGATTCACTAACCAGGTTATCACCTTTTTATATAATTTCTAGGATTGATTTTATTATATGCTTTTAAGGAAATTACATTAATATGATATCATCATAAAAATCTGATCAATGGACTCTCCATAAAAGAATTTAACGCTACCCATATGTAAAGATCATCAAGAGGTCCTTTTACAATAATATATGTAATAATTTTGAGAATATGCGAGAAAGTTTGAGAATAAAAGTCCCTGGATCTTTACTGGCAATTTTAATTTGCCAATTCAGATTTCTGTTAGTGCCCTAAATGTTTTTTATTTGCAATACATTAAGCTAAGATAAATTACATGATGCGGGACTAGCCCTGGATATATGATGCTATTCTATGATTGTAGACTATTATATACAATTATTTTTTTGAACGATATTTCTCTATTCTAGCTTAAGGCAAAGGAAACGTATCCACAATACATACTATGTCATATGATAATTGTGAAGACTCTTCATACTTCCAACTAATAGAAGCGGGATCTACCGGTTAATTATATGATAAACTTTAATTTCAATGACGTACTCAGAAAAATCTTGGCAAGAATTTTCCTGATATCAACTGCGCTTCTGATTCCAGTTTCTTTTGCATAAGCCACCTATGAGATTCAAAAAAAAAGAAACGAAATAATATACAAATATTTTTTCTTCATAATTCCTTCCAGTCTAAGCTACAATTGTGAACTTGAATTTATTGCTTGAAGTGAAGTAAGTAAGACAATATTCTGTTCCATATCATTCGCCATATAATCCATAATTTCTATGTTTTCTATTGCAGATAGGGTATGGTAAACTTCATGGCTGATGCAATGCAAAATTATAATTATCAATTTCTCTAAAGTTATTTTAGAATTTTAGGTATGTGAAATGCTCTAACACAGATCTGATAATTAATTCTAGATCAGGTTTGGCTTCAAAAGTGATAGGCTTGAAATCAGAGGCTTAAGGTTTTTCTGATATACTTATCCCAGTTTCTGATAATTGTTATGGCTCATGTCCAGTTTCTCTTTTAAATTTTTGTATAAATTGGAACGAATTTTATTTATCAAAATATTTAGCAAACCAGTTAATTTGGTATGCTAATCCAGATATTTGGGAATTAATATTTTATCAGACTTGACCATGTTGCCTTTTTCTATAATTGCAAATCAATCTAATTAAATAATAGTTGACAGGTGTAAAAAAATAATAATAAAGCAAATGTAGTCACAAAGTAATCTGACTATGCAACTATTTCAATTTCATACTGTTTATATTTAATAAAATAAGATCTAGCTTTATATGTACCCTCTATGCTTTCCTCATCATCATGCTTTAACTTGCATAATGAGCATGATGTCTCATCAGTAATACCATAATAATCGAAATTTTCACTACTAAATTCTCTATATAAATTTGAATATTGATCCAATGTCTTGTTGCAAAAATAGGATCAGTCATAAGTTGGCTTAGATTAACTGGAGGAAGATACAGATAATACATTTACTGATGTATTTATCTCAACCTTAATCTGATTATTTCCTGAGGAAACAGTTTTATTAAAGTCATATGACTCTGATGATTACTAGTATATTTTTTTACTTGATCTATAATATTTTGAATTTGTGTATTAATCAGTTTAAAATCTCAGTTACACTATATAAGACTAGCTTAATTTTATCTAGTCTAATCCTATTTTTCCCAAATAACATAAGATGTTTTCTAACTCTATGAGTTTTCTTGCGCAAGTTAGCTTTGTGATTTTAATAAGAAGAAATGGTTTCATTTTCTTGTAAATCATTGATCTTGCCGTTTTATCCTTAATTTTACCATTAGCCATAAAAGCATCAATCCTGCTCTCAAATTCAAAGGAATAATTGTATCAGTCTAATATTTTCTGCTAACTGGATTTTATTGCTATTTCAAATAAATAAGATAAGTGCTGGGTAAAATCCAAAATCAAATTCTCTAAACTAATATAAGAGCTGATAATTTAATATTATCTTGTCCATCTGAGACCTCTTCAGGTAATATGAGTACACATAATTTATGTATTAGACCTTATTCTACAATTTGATTTTTATCAAGTGATTCCTCTTGAATCATGTCATCGTCTTGCTTTACAGATAGAAGATCTAGTTCACCTGAAGTCACATAATTCTGATCGTTCTCTGAGGAAACAGTTTTTTCGAATTTTCTCAAAATTTCTGAAATCACCTGATCATTTTTTTTAGAGTTGTATAATGGGTTAGCAACTGTCGATTTATGTTGAAATTTCTCCTCTCATCATCTTATCTCATCACTAACGATTTTCTTATAAGCCTTAAGCAAAAAACTATTTATATCTTTCTCTTTCAACAATTTGCCATTAACCATTAAGGCACTTTGTAAATATTTTACAAAGTTGGCAGGTATTGTAGCCACCTCTATTACCAGTTCTTATTTATTATAGCAATCCTCTTCAGGAAAGGAATTATCTATTTTCACATCTATTAATAGTTTCTCATGATACTTCGCAACTAAATTAAAATTAAATATATTATTGTCAGAAGGATTATCATTATTTGATTACTCTTTCATTAATAAGGAAGCCCGTTTCACTATCGCAAGTCTGGCCTTGAGCTCCTTATTTTTTTGTACCAGTTTCTCAACTCTAACATCATGTCTAGTATTTCCCTCCATAATCTACTTTAGAAGCTCAGCTTTTTTAGCCTCAAGCTCAGCATTCTTAGCTTCAAGTTCAACAATACGCTGTTTCAATACTTTAAGCTCAAATATCATGATTGATAAATTTTATACAAGAAATGGAATATTCAAAAGTAAGTTAGTATAGTATATATCAGATATAAGAAAAAATAGACATAGGTTATGATGTCACCAGATTTCTGAGATCGCGTAATCTTAGAAATATGCTAAGAAAATTTTACGTGACTTGCTTATAATGCAAAAAAAATCTAATTAATGATCATGCAAAATATCTCTTGATCGCTCTGGACTAGCTAGATTATTGAGACTCTAATTTAGTTTCAGAATTAGAAGATTTTGAATCAGAACAGTAATTTTCATCAAAATCGATATGAATATTTGGATTTAGCTGGTCTATGACTTTTTTTGCTAATATTTTTATACCTATTCAAAGCTAGAAATTTTATATTGAGACATAAGCAAGTAATTTCTTTGATAGTCATACTGGTAATATTACAGCAACTAAGGTTAAGATGTTAGAACTTTGAACAGAAACGTATAACATTATAAATTAATGGTTCACTAATAAAATCACAACAATCTAGATCAAGATATTCTAATTTATGACAAGTATGAGCCAGTGCTTCAGTAACCCTATCACCAATATCATTATAACTGATCTCTAAATGTCTTAAATTCAGAGATGCTCTGATAATTGTTATAATCAATTCATCATTTCACAAAGCCATAGCCCCACTAAAGTCAAAATACTCTATTTTAAGTATCTTTACATAAAAGTACTAGCACTTAGACATCCTCCTTACTATATGCAATATCAAGATTTTGTAAATTTAGGTATGAGTTTAAAATACAATTTATAGATTTATCTAAATTCTAACGCGTTTCGGCAAAATGAAATACTTGTAAATCATAGCAATTTTCTGTGATTTCAAATAAAAATTTATCAGTAATATTTCTGTAGTAAGAAATATTAGATGTTCTAATTTACAGCATGATTATATGATTGCATATAAGCCTTTATTGGTTATTGCTTGAGTATCTTACAAATTGAGATATCTTAAATTAGGATATAATTTCACTATTATAAATAGTGATTTATTACTAAAACTTATACTTTCTTTAAAATCTAAATGAATTATATTCAAAAATGTATTTACAATACTTTTAATTTTTTTATCTGAAAGTAAATGGTAAAAAGTAATTTCTAGATGAGTTACATTTAAGACATAAGCTAGTTTATTTT